TCGTTGGCTGCTGCGGCGGTGGAAGGAATCCTGGCTGACCTTGTTGTTGGTAGTTGGGGCGTGTAGCTTGCGGGATGGGCGGCGGTTGTTGTTGTTGATGCTGGCTGCCCGACGACAGGAACTTCTGGCCTTCCTGCTGGAGGTCTTTAATCTGGGACTTGAAATGCGCGAGGGCGTCTTTGAAGGGCATGTTGGACTTTTGTTGGCACAAATCTAGTCCGATGATTCCCCTTTCCTGTCCGAGACGCTATCTCGTGTCCTGGAGCCCTCTTCTGATGGAAATAGTCCTCGTTGTGGCATGATTTTTGGTGGGTGGAAATGACGTTGCTTCCAAGACTCTTTGAGTTTGGGCTGCGGAATGCTTCCGGCACATCAAGAGCCTCCTTCGCGATTTGGGTTAGTACTGGATAGTATCAAATATAGAAACAACGCCACCGTTCACAACGAAGAGTCCATTGTACCAGTAGAGGATGCGTTTCTCGGCAGTAAATTAGCAGCCTACGAGGTTGTTGCTTGCTGTGCTCAGCGCGTTGAGGGTGGTGGACGATGATGAGGGACCGAGTCTGAACGTTGGTGTCTCCATCTTACAAAAGGGGCCTTCAGTCGCCACTATCACGCAGACGAGACGAGATGCGAGCAACATATCCCGGAAACACGAAACAGAGGAGAAGAGGCCGAGGACGAAAAACAGGATGTCATATCTCTCTTGTTCAGTCGCATATAGCAACAGAGCGTAGGCCCTCCCCAACACCGGCTTGTCAAAGTCCGTAAAAGACAGCAGGTAAACTCTCCTCCTTCCAACCTCCCCGGCCGAGGCGACCGTCATACTCGCTGGCGGGCATCGTCTCTATTCAGCCTTCTTGGCCTCCTCCTCTCCGGCTTGCTCCGCTTTCATCAGCACCCAGCGACGCATGACGGCCTCCTCGGCCTCACCCCGAACGCGGCCTCGTTCTTCCTTGGTGAAGCCGTCAGGAGTGTCGTCGTCAACGACGACGACACCCCCAGCGGCCTCCCCGTCCCCGTCTTCCTCTCCCTCCTCCCAGGCGGCCTTCTCTGGCGCGCCCGCCATTCCTTCAGTCACGAGCCATGGCTCGCGAAAGATAAGCGCCCTCAGCTCTCTGATGACCCCCCTGATGGTGTAGCAGGTGTGGCAGCGCTTACGGAAGCTGCCCCAGGGCTTCTCCACCTCGACGTTGCACCACTTACAGTCCTCCTCGTTCTGGAGGTAGTCCTCGCAAAAATCGTATCTTGCCTTCTTGCAGACGTCGCACTCGTATTTGAAGCACATGTCGGCAGAGAGTTTTGAGGTGTTTGATCGGATGAAATCTGAGGAGTTTATTGGGTCTGAGAGGAAGGCTGAGAAGGAAATGTTTCCTATATAGACTGATGGAGTGTATGAGTGAGACGCCGCTGAGAAGAGAAACAAAGCTGGTTCGGATAGCTTGGAGTCTTGTTTGAAGAAGTTGTTTGGGCTGACCGAGAAGGAAGATGGATTCCCGGCCTTTGACGCGCCTTCGATGATTTCTCTGAGTCTGTTCTTGAAGGTGATTCTGCAGATTTGGATGAGTTGAAAACTAAGATGAAGATTGCAAAATGGTGCTGGAGGGTTCAATTTGGACAGTGGATGCTAGTGAAAAGGTGCGGTAGAATTGAGATTCTAAGCAGGGCGAGCTACCTTGTGCTCAGACGACATGCCTTGAGGCATCTTGTGAAAATCCAACTATGCGCAGTAGATGACTACCTGTGAGAGAGGATGAACCCGGCTTTGGTGGCCGTCCAGCGGATCGTTTCCACAGCGTCAAAAGAAGGTTTGACATCTGAAGATACAATATGAAGCGGGTTGAAGTGTGAGAAGAAGTCTTTACAACTTCGCAGATATTTTGAAAACTCCGCCTTGCGTGTCGTGTCTTGTTGCTGAGAAGACGGCAAAATAGGTCGGTGACCCAGCGATGCTGCCGCCGACGCATCATCGCTTAGTCGTCGACCTATTCAGAGGTTCACAATGTCAGCAGGTAATCTGTTTGGTCGGCGGAGCCCCTCTCAACCCGTTTCCTTCGGCCTCTGCAAACATCGCCAGATATATGTTTCAGGGTGTCACTGAGGAAGCAAACGCAGATCCAGGGCGATAGGTATGTCGCCTCCAGAGCTCGTTTGTCTTTACGAAGAAGTATTCTGACTGGAACCCTCATGTCGCAGGAACAGACAGAAGTTTGACCACACGTCTTCACAAAGAACTTTCAGGTGTTGACTTCAGCCATGGCCCATCGACATGATGTTCTCAGGGATCGGGATGGCGCAGGATACTGTGCCGGATGCTGGGTTTGGGGTTATGCCCACAACTATGAGGAGGACCTTCAGACTAGGTGGAAAGACAGCTCGAGCTCTGAGGAGACTGTCACTGAAGCCTCTTACCTGGAAAATAGGAGACATCAGGAACAGGTAGGCTGAGATACGGGTGGATGATATGTTGAAGAAGAGAAGAAGGTTGAGGTTGAGGTGGATATGCAGCCAGGCGGGCAATTGTATTTCCAGCCCGTGAATGCCCAGACCAGGCGTCGCAGGCTGATGGGCTCAAACTGCGCCACGGTGCCACTTTCAGCCACGTCCCAACACCAACACCGAGCCTCATCATCCTGCCTGTTCTCTCCTTGTCATTTCCATCTCAGGACATCATCATTCTCTATCATGGCCAGCCTCTTCTCGATATCCGGAGGGTGCTAACGTATCAAATGCTCTCAGGTCCCTGACTTCGGAAGCCACAATCCTGACGCAAATGACAATACTACCATGGCCGAAATCGAGAACCACTTCACGGTCTTCATCCGTCTGCCCTTTAATCGTGGTGACTTTGTTGATCCTCCTCCTGTAGCCTGGTCTGTTGCCAAAGAGCGAGCACTATGGGATGTCATGTCCCGCCAGTCCAAGAACAATGAAATCGACTGGAGGACTCTATCGGAGAAATTCGAGGTGACCCAGGCCTTCCTCCTCCAGCAAGCTGCATGGCTCTATGAGCGACAGCTGTCCCAAGTTCGAGCCCAGATGCGCCGAGTAGGAAACAGACAATCCGCCACGCCATCCCCCATTCCAGGATCAGCTTCAGCCAGCATGGTGGGCGGCCAGGCGATGAAGAGAGCTGGAAGTGGTGGGTCACGTGTCCCTTCTCGCTTGTCCACGCAGCACCTTGGAAGTCCTGTTGCCGGGGGAGGAGACAGTACGCCGGGAACTCCTGCTAAGAGCAGGACTTCTCTACCATTTCGGAGTGCCGCGGGGGCTGTTGGGGCTGCGGGTGGTCCACAGTCCAGAGTGGCTTCCGGATCGTCGAGGCCATTATCAAGGCAGTCTTCCAAGGACGCAGAGGCACCGCAGTCCCGAAGGGACAGTATTCAACATCCATTGGCAAGATCACCAGGACAGACGCGGAGTAACCAGCCTCAATCATCTGACTCGGAAGATGATATGACTCAATCCCGCATTATGGCTCGTCGACCAAACCCGTCGTCCATGCACCGCCGAGTTCTATCCTATCGAAAGGAGCTCCAATCCCAGAAAGGAACCACCACCAATCCGGACGACAAGAGTCTTGTACAAAGCCCACTTCCACAAGAAGAGGATGACGATGATGATGACGAGCCCTCTTTCCTTCCCTTTGCCAATCCCGCTTCCGAAGGCAAAGCTCGGCCATCGTCTTCTTCCCAACAGGATCCCAGCGCAACGCTGCGAGGCGCTTTACAAACACAGAGACCCGGCATCAACCGACGCACGACATCCGAACGCATAGCCTCGTCTCCGACCATTGAGCCACCTACCCCAGTTCAAATGCAGCGAAATCCGCCAAACCTAACGTTCCCGACCTCATCTCCCTCTTCCCCTACCCGGCCCACTGCTGCAAACACAACCTTAGCCCGACCCACACCTCGAACCGATGCCCAACACTCCACTCAAGTCCACCTCGCGACCCAGCCGCCCGTCATTCCCAGGCTCGGCACGCCATTGTCTCCTCCTCACCGTGCCCTCCTGCATAGCCACTCACAATCGGCATCAGCAGCCGCATCCCCTCGCCGCCATGGCACAGGTCCGGGGTCTGACACGTCGCCTTCTATGGGCTCCTCCTTCTCCGACCTCGATGACACAAGTGTGACGCAGTCGGCATTGGAAGAAGCATTGCTGAGTGGAATGGGGAATACTACTATGACGACGCATTTTGGAGGGTTTGGGGGGAGGGTCACGAGCGGCATTGGGCAGGCTTTAAGGTCGAGATATTTTGATGCGAGGGGTGGTGAAGGCTATGGTCGAGGAGGTGGAGGTGGAGGAGGTACTGGCGGTGCCGCTGCAACCGGTAATGTGAGTGAAAGATGAAAACAGCACTGCGAGCGGTCATTAAAACGGGGCTGGGGAACCAAATTGAAATTGAGATCAACACAGGGAAATGGGTCCGAATGGAGTTCGCTCACTGGTAAAATGCTATGACAAATCAGCCAGATTGAACAAGTATCAAGTACGCAAGGGAGGAAGAGGCTAGGTTTTGCACGTCTCTATTTAACAACAGTCACCAAAACATATATTCGAATCCCTTTTTCTTCCCCTCTATAAAATATCCTCCCCGAAACCAAAAAAGTAAAAAGAAAAAGCAAAAAAGAAACAGAGAGAAACGGGTTCATGTCCCATCCCTTGCCGTCCCATCCTATCAATCCTAAGATGTAGCGTACGTAGCATGGCGTAATATTAGTTGAATCATATCAAGTCAAATCAAGTCAAGATTGAAATCATATCCTAGCGTAGCGTAGTATAGCGTATGTAGTGTAAATGCCGCGTACCATATCCTGTCATATCCTGTCTGCCAGTCCGAGAAATATAGTGACATATTCGGATTTTTCTGGACGAAAAGAGAGAGCAACAAATCGTTCAACTGAGCGGGTAGATGATAAAATGAGAAGGGGAAAATGGCACGTCAAGAATTCCTGCCCATCTGACCCTGCCCCTGTCTAGTCTCCCCGGTTCATTTATACCTCGTCTCTCTTCCTTCCGGGCCTGCCAGTGCTCTTGGACTCATGGGCCAGGTTCTTGCCCACCGTGCCCGTTTGCGGCCTGGTGGACCAGGACGGGGTGGGCGATACCTTGCCGCCGTGGCTGCTGGTGCTACTGCTGTGCTTCGAATGCATGGTCGAGTGACCGGCCTCTTCAGTGCCGTGTGCGGCACCGTGACCGTGCGCGGTGGCATTGCCCTTGAATTTGCCGTGCGCGGGGAAATCCTCGGCCGTGGCGTTGTGGCCGTAGCCCCTGTATCCCCTGACGCCTCTCTTGTTGCGGTGCTTGTCCGGGTGCTGGACGTGTTCCTTGTCGCCTCCCTTCATGTACTCGACCATTTTCTCGCCCAGCGTGCGCTTGCGCAGCGAGTCGTCCACCATAACGCCCGGGTTGGCCGCGTACCACGTCGTATACGCCGGGCAGGTCTGGGTCACGCTCTCGGGCACTTGGATCGAAGTGAGCCGTTCGGGATGTTCCAGGAGCATGATTACCATGCCCGCCGAAAGATGCCAGGCGATGTGGCAGTGCACGGGCCACACGCCCGCATTGTCCTGTGTGTATTGGACCACAATGTATGACGGATTGTCTGGCGTTGCTTGGGCCCAGAGCATGTGGACGTCACGACGTTGCGGGTTTGTCGGATTGGTGACTGTGCCATCCCAGGTGCCGAAACCCTCGGCGAGGACCTGGAAGTCGTGGCCGTGGATATGCATGGGATGGGGGGCAGGGGTAGTGTTGATGATGATGATTCGAACTGTTCCGTTGGTGCCTGTGTTGTACACGTTGTACTGTGGTGCAAATTCGGTCTGACCGGAAATCGCTTCCAAGAGCAAGCTGTTGGAGAGGTCTCCATCGTAGCTGACGCCGTTCATCGTCCAGTGGAATACCCCTGAGGCATCGGGAGCGCCGGCAATGGTGATGGTGATAGTGGTGTCCGGTTCGGCCGCGGGCATTACGTACTGGGGAACCGTAGTCGCCAATGGGTCATTCTGGCAATTCGAGTTGATGGGTGGTTGAGCGCCAGTGCTGGTCGGAGGCGTGCTCGGATCCGACCCTGCGTAGTAGATGATTCCCTGACCATATGGTCCGTTCGTGTCGCCACAGGGGCTGTTAAATGCACGGAGCCAGTAGCTACCTGGAGCCTGATTGGCAGTGACAAGGACGTCGACTCGTTGACCAACACCGATGGTGACGAATTCGGTCTGATAAGGCTGAACAGGGACGAAGTCATTGGCAATGACCGTCAACTGGTGCCCATCGATCGAAATGGTCTCGAATGCTGAGGCGCCTGTATTGACGAACCGCATACGGTAGGTCTTGCCGGGCTCGAATTCCCATGATGCGTATGGGACAACAGAGCAAGGAGCGCCGCTTGTGACATTTGCACATGGATATTGGCCGACACCCGCAACGAGGTTGGAGTCTGAGAAAGGTCGGAATGGTTGGCCCGAGGCGCTGGGAGACATGACCAAGCTGACAATATCCTCATAGCTATCGTGGAACCAATCCGTAACAAGGATAGGATAGAGATCAACGTCGTAGCTAGCGTCGTTAGGGCCGTGAACAACGATCGGTCCAACGACTCCTGAAGAGTATTGGGCAGAGTAATGGGCGTGCCACCAGGAAGTGCCATACTCGTCTGCACGGAATCTGTAGGTCAAATTTCCACCGGGGACGATTGGGCATTGGGCAACGGTGACAACTCCGTCGTAGTACGGAGTTCCAGGCTGGTTCAGGCCATGCCAGTGTATCGAGGTGGGTTCTTCAGGGCCATAGATTTGATTGTGAACATTAACTTCGATCCTGTACAATTCAGCAAGAAGCTTCTCCACAGCCTCGGGCATTCACATACCAGTCACCCCAGTTTGCCTCAATCAAGGGACCTGGATACTGGCCATTGACAACGATCATGGCTTGTTGCACCCCATCGGGAGCGTATGTTCCCCGGGCGACAGTGAAGTCATAGTATCGTGTGACGCCTAGAATCAAGTTCAGCCTTGTCTATTCAACACCGGGGAGGAGACCGTGCGAACCAGTGTCTGGCATATCATTCTGGGGATGGGATCCAGAAGCAGTTCTACTTCCCCATGGACAATCATCACCACCCTGGAGGTGTTAGTGACACAGTTGCGTATATGCGTGCGTTTCCGCTTACTCCCATCCATTTTCCAAGCGGTCCTGGTTGGCCAGCCAAGACACTTTCAACAACCACCGCGCCCAGAAGGGCGGAGACCAGACTTGTCCTCATCATCGACAGGAACGAGGCAAAATGGAGGTCGAAGAAGTGTGTAACCAAGAGGAGAAGATCTGTACAACAGCTGAGACCGATGGATTGTATTTATATTAGCGGACATGGACAGAGCTAACCAGGATGTGGCGGGCCAGAGTTCGGCCTCCATTTGCGACTTCCGTGAAGCAGTAAGATCAACTAAACACGTTGGACTAGCCATTTCTAGACGTTATGATCGGACTGCAATAGGCATGCAAGCCCGCAGCAGCCTAGGCGCTGTGAGCTGGAGGTGCTTAGGCGAGCATCAGGCCTCTTGGGAAGTCACCAGGGGTCAACGTCTCTTGCTTCCATTCAGAGAGGGATACCTAACCTGGGTTTGGACTTAAACTGCGGTAGAGCAGGACACCCTGGGTCGACAGGGATTCGCTGCTGCTTTTCGCCCTTCGAGTTGGCTGCTTGAGTATTGTTCAGGAAATGGCTTATTGAGATAAGCGACAGCGCAGGTCGTTGCCATGGTGTTAGCCAAATGGTACGAGGGAGTTTGAACAAGGCGGTCAGGTATCATGGGATGCCTGAAGAAATGGCCCTCCCCAGCAGCTGTATCGCAAATGAGAAGCCGGTAAGTCGGTCAGTCATACGAGCTTGTAATACTCTCTGAGAGATGGGTGAATGTCAGGGCGCGGGGACTGGCCATGCTTGGACATCCCCTGGACTGAATGTCACTGTATGGCCTGCCAAGATAATCCGGGCTGAAAAGCTTAGTACAGCGGGGAAAATAGGCGATGTTCAGTCCAAAACAGTACCAGAAATAGTTCTCATTGCTCTCTGTTTTGACTGGGGTCAGTTGCGTCCAAGCGCCTGGCATTTGACGAGGTATTATTGCAATGACACAGACGAGGCATACAGCTGTTGGCCGTTCTGTCGGTGGGAAGAGTCTGTTCGAATCCAAAGGCCTGCTTGCGCGGTCGGCGTGGTTGATCTAGGTAGATACCGGAGTTGCCGAATCCTGGACCCTTTGGGCCCGAGATTTTGAGGCTGAGACAGGAACCCCCTCAGGAATCATCCCTAAAGGAATTTTCGGCTTCCGTTGCGAGCTGAAAACTGTCATAAGTGTTCTGGGGTTCTGCAGCGGCAAGCATCTGGGCCTGTCAGCACCAATGGCGGGTTGCCAATAAGATGCTGCGGGACATTTCCTCCGCACGGGCACCGTCAGAGCAGCAATAAGCAAGGCTCTGTCAGGTATGTTTCGGTTGCGCCAAAAGGAAGGGGGTACTTGCAGAGTGGAAGTGGCAGCTCTATTTTGGAGGACCATAATGGTCTTGGCTAGACAAACGAGCTGCCGACACAGGAACGTGCCAGCAGACGCCAGTAATTTTATGTAAGGGCACTCACTGAGCGTGGGAGACGACTCTCTGCTGTCTTCTCAAGCTTTCTCGATCCGCAAGAAGACTGGGGAATCAAAAACTTTCGAAGCCTGGGTGTGCCTGCATAGCCCCAGTCCGACCTAGCTCATGAAATGCCAATTGAAAGTATAATTTCCTTCTTAGTCCACTTTATTTGGTCGAAGCAGCGAGGTTCCTGTGTAATCTGCCCCTTGTGCATGGCAGTTGAACGAAATGCGTCATCCCACGATTCTCACGGTCGTTGAGGTCGTTGTGCAAAAGGTTGTCATTGATCGGGTTTGGTAGACATAGCCGGCCACTCAACCTCTATTAAGCATGAGCTCCCACTGCATGCCTGACCTCAGTCGATGGCTGAGAATTGACTGCATTTTCAAGACGTCGCGGAAAGCAGGTCATTTAGACCCACTCCCTGGGGTGCTTGAGGACTTCCATTAGCTCCTTTTCTCTCTCATACTGGGAATCATCTTCGTCATCTCGATTTTCAGGGATGCCAGTACCACACTATTCTGCTTGTCAGCGTCCATCACATCAAGGACGAAAGGGCATCGAAACAGAGCTTTGTACGAATGCCGGTTTGGATCGGACTTACAACAGGATGCATATATTCCCAACGGGCCGTTAATGGCAAACTCATCAGAATGCTTTCGACTCGAGCACCCGGAGTTCGCAGCCCGAAGCTGGTCCCCCTATCATTGATGAGATTGAATTCGACATATCTTCCTCGTCGAATCTGTTGCCACTCTTTTTGTTGGGGCGAGTATGGCATGTCCTTTCTCTTCTTGATGATGGGTAGGTATGAAGGTAAGAATGACTCGAGACCGCTGACGACGAATTGGAAGATTTCTTCCTGCGGATTGCGAGAGTTCGGTCGTGAAGCCGCTTCAAGGTCATCGAAGAATATGCCGCCAATGCCCCGCGCTTCGTTTCGATGTGGGATCTTGAAATAAGAGTCACACCACTTCTTGAACCTGGGATAGTAGTCTTTGTCGTGCTTGTCGCAAGCGGCCTTGAGGGTCTTGTGGAAGTATTGGGCGTCTTCTTCAAATAGGTAACAAGGCGTCAGGTCTGTGCCTCCGCCAAACCACCAGTTTTGTTGAGCTGTGCCCGTGGCATTGACCGGGTCTCTGGGATCAGATGTCTCAAAGTATCGGTAGTTCATGTGAACCGTCGGAGCCATGGGGTTATGAGGGTGCAGTACGAGCGAGATGCCTGCTGCAAAGAAGTTTAATTTGTCGATATCCGAAGCAACAAAGGACTTATGGTCTGACCGCATCTTCTCAATGGCTGGACGTGATAGCTCTCCATAGACGACGCTGATATTGACCCCAGCCTTCTCGAAGACATTGCCATCCTGCAAAACGCATGAGATGCCGCTTCCACCAGCTGGTCTCGTCCATTCATCCCGCCTGAACTTCTTCCCATCCACATTTTCCAGTGCAAAGACTATCCGATTTTGGTGTTCCTTGATCAAAGCCTCCATGCGCAGTCGCATGGGCGAGTTGCGTGTGATTTTTTGCTTGCTTTTAGTCACCTCATCTACCTCGGCCAAATTAACAGGTTGAATGGGTGGTGAGTCATTCGCGATGGGTGTCCCCTGGGCCATGCTGTAGGTCCAGGTGCCGACCAAGAGACTTCCGACGGAAAACGGTAGGTAAAACCATCTTTGCCGGCGGTGATTTCTCAACAGTGGGCTTTGTGCAGCGGGTAGAGGTCCGGTAGAATAGCGGAGGCGTAGATGAGAAGGGCGGATATGCGGGTTGGATCCTGCTCTGAAGACTGAATTGTGAGAAGCTCGAACAGAGCTCCACGCAGACCTGGGAATGCACATGGTCAATATAGTACGGGTGTGCCCAGACAAAGCATGAATGAAGGAGAGAGCAAGGTGAACAAATTGAGATGATGCAGTTTATTGTAGGTCTGGTAAAGCCATTTGAATGTACGTAGCCACAGCTCCACAGGAAGAATCAAATATTCCTCCTACCCGTCGTCAGGTCATCGCAGGTGAGCATTACGACTATTCGTCTTTTTTCCGCGAGGTGAAGCTGCAGAAACGTGCTGCAGGTTCCCCACTGTCACATGACAAGGCTATTTCCTTACCACCAAACTCAGCCATCGTCGACTGACGGAAGCAGCGTGGCGATGTTGGTCAGGTAATGGATCTTTCCCGATCTAAGAATCCACTGATCTTGAAGAGGAAAGCCTTTAAGTTTAGGAACGGAGTACAGGTGCAAAGGAAGCGCAAATCTGACCATTAGAATGATGCCCCCCAATTCCGCGGGCATTGGTATCTAGCTATTGATGAGTGCAGTCAGGCTGCGGCGATGGGGTTAAACAAAGCGGCCACAATGAAGTCGAGGCAGAGGACCTAATGCGGCCTGTGACCGTCCTCTGCGAGTCCTCGAGTCCCCTTGTGCCGTTGTTAGCAGGATAGTATGACGTGACTCACTCGGCCATCGTATTTAAGATCTAGCCTCGTGGCCAACTCTTGTAGCCTGGCGGACAGTCATAGTCAGGCTGAGCACCATCCCGTGATCGGGGATGATAAGTCACTTTGACGCGGCGAGCAGGGACTGATAACGCGGGGCATTTATTCGCGCTCTGTGTGGCCTAGCACTTTCTGCGTTCTACTTGGTAGGTTCTGCGGGTGACTCGCTGTCCCGCTGTCCACTGCCCACTACCCACTGCCCACTGCCTCGCGACTGCACAGCACGGGGCCCTGGCCTGCCTATCACCGCCATCACCGCCCACTCCAGTGCTGCCTGCCACGCCTGGCACCTTTGAACAACCTCGCCCGTATCCCTCACTACTCACTCACTCACTCACCAACCAGGCTTCCTCCCTTCATCTACCCCTTCAACCATCAACACTCGGCCATATTCCCTGAGACTGCGACACACCCTCAGACTTCATCTATACCCATCAGCAGAACCTGAGAACCACCTCAAATTCACCACTATGCGTTCCAAGTTCAAGGACGAGCACCCTTTCGAGAAGCGCAAGGCAGAAGCTGAACGCATTCGTCAGAAGTACGCCGATCGCATCCCGGTACGTTCAGTCTCGTCCTTCCGTTCTCGTTGAGAGAGTCCTTTGACTGACCATATCGTCTGCAGGTCATCTGCGAAAAGGTCGAGAAATCTGATATCGCTACCATCGACAAGAAAAAGTACCTCGTCCCCGCAGATCTGACCGTCGGCCAATTCGTCTATGTTATTCGCAAGCGCATCAAGCTGAGCCCAGAGAAAGCCATCTTCATCTTCGTCGACGAGGTCCTTCCACCCACCCATGCCCTCATGAGCAGCATCTATGACGAGCACAAGGACGAGGATGGTTTCCTTTACATCACGTATGTACCGACTGCTCACTCAGCGTGCCTCATGGTGTAATAGCTGACAAATACCCAGTTACTCTGGCGAAAATACCTTCGGCGACTTGTAAAAGTCCAGCCCTTGAGACCGACGCAACAAAGTCACGTACGGCATACCACTACCGGGAGTCACGATGTGTATTGATTTCACACGGATGGACGTC